AAGAAAGAAAGAAAGAAAGAAAGAAAGAAAGAAAGAAAGAAAGAAAGAAAGAAAGAAAGAAAGAAAGAAAGAAGAAAGAAAAAGAAAAAAAAAGAAAGAAAGAGATAGACAGAGTGTATTTGTTGGTATGTGACCTGTGTATTATTCTAAATTGGCTTCACCAGGTTAATATCTCCAATTATGCCTGGCTGTGGCCATGCTAACAAGAATTATGATTTGATGGTTAACATGTAAAGAGGGAAACAGCTACTCTAGATCAGTGTTTCTCAACCATGGCAACTTTAAGATGTGTGGACTTCAGCTCCCAGAATTCACAGCTTTAGGGCTGTGACTGCATCTTAAAAGTTGCCAAGGTTGAAAAACACTGGTCTAGATATTGATGATTTCTTGCTGGCCACATCAGAGGTAGGGCACAAATTATCCTGCCAGTATGCCCCTATTTTCCTCTGTGAAATGTTGGGTGGAGTGAAATGACTTTTTCTCCCCTGCTTGGTAACACTGCATAGAACTGAACATCACGGCAGCCGTTGTGTCCCTCCTCAGCATCATCTTGATGGCCATGGGATCCCTCTGCATCACAATGGCCCTGAGCAAAGGAGTTGAGTTCCTCCTGAAACCAGCATCATGCTTCTTTATAATATCAGGTATGAATTCTGCAGAATCTTCTTTTCTGTCCTGAAGTATGTGGGATGGGAGGAATGGGAGATACCCATGATATTCCTTAAAATAGGGCTGTCCAATATTGACCATGTTAAGACCTGCAGACTTCAACTCAGAATTCCCCAGCAAGCATGGCTGGCTAAGGAATTCTGAGAGTTGAAGTCCACATATCTTAAAGTTGCCAAGGTTGGACACCACTGCTTTAAAACATAAGGAGGCTACAGATCCACCTAAAGATAAATAAAAGGAGCCACATAATACTCTTCTAAGTAGCCCTGTTTAATCCAATGTCCCTCTCTAAACTGCTTGTTTGTAGCCTTGGTTCACAGCTGGAAATATCTCAAGGGTAACATCCTACACCAGTGATTTTTCAAACTTGTCAACTTTAAGACATGTGGACTTCAACTTCCAGAATGTTTTGGGAAAATCTTGGGAGATGAAGTCCACACATCTTAAAGATGCCACATTTGAAAAACATTGCCCTACACAGTCTTATTTTTTTTTAGGCCCAAGGAATCAGGAACATTCATAAATCTGTATCATAGAAGATTTATTCAAACTTATAGACAAAAATCTAGTCAACTAATGTAAACTAGTCAACACTAAACTGCCACTAGATACAGGCAGTGGTGGGATAAAGCTGATTCACACTGGTTCACTCGAATCGGTTGTTAACTTCTTCTGCAGTTCAACACACCAGCTGATCTCACCACTGGCTGGCCCCGCCTCTCACCTCCCAGACACTCCTCGCCTGGCCTGAGAAGCTAAGGCCAACACTGCTGGAGAGCACCCCGTTGGGGACAGACAGCTAGCCCTGGCTGGGTTCTTAATCGCAGCCATGCTGATATGCCCTCTTCTGTTGCCAACTCGCCTCCCCAGCCATGCGTTTTTGCACAAGGCTTCCCTGTCATGCCCTGCTCTGGCTGCTTCCTCTTAGCTAACGCCCAGCAATGAAGGAGCTGCTCTCCATAAACAGGTGGCAATGAGCAGTGAGGGGTGTGCCTGAGTCATGCTCCTGCTCCGAAAAACCTTCCCTTATCCTTCTCCTGTGTAAAGATTGGGATCTTTTTCCTCCAACCTAGGCTGAGGTGATGCCTGGGCACAGGTCTCTGTCAACCTTATCTTTGTGGGCAGCCGTGAGAGCAGAGCAGTGCGAGCCCCGTGAGCTGGAAATTTGGGCTGACAGCTGGGGAAGGAGACCTGTTCTGGGCCTGCCACACTCGGCCAAAGGGTTGCCTCAGGATGGACACGGTGAGGCTCAGCCACCTTTCGGGCCTGGCTCTTGACTTCCACGAGGTTCGAGTGAAAGTGCCTGGCCTGGCCACACAGCCCCCCCCCCCAGGGAGAAAAGCCTTGGATGACCTGATCCATCCCAAAGGCCTCAAGGGGCTCCAGAGTTTCCATCTGCCTCCACCAGCCCAAGCGCCCTGCCTTTCGGACCCCAACAGGGCCAGCACCTGGAGATGGATGGGTGACCAGATGTCTCGGGGATGCATGCACGCACCTTGCTGCAGAGCGGCAGATTTGGCCCAGTGCAGCGCATTCAACCCAGGGCTGCCCGCTCACCCACCCGCCAGCTGGGCTGGCCCAGAAGCGGTGCATCCCCAACGTGGGATGGATGTGGGACCCGAGGCAGATGGGAGGGCCAGTGGGCCTGCTGCACTCAGCCAAAGGGTGCAGGCCACCTTGGGGAACATGGCAAGGCTCAGGCCTGCTTGCCTCCTATCTGCCTCGAATCCCGCAATAAGGGAACATACCTCTTCCGGGTCCACCCGGATGGTGGGTGGGCGAGGAGGCAGCCCTTGGGGGAGAGTGCAGCGCTGGGGCCAAGTCCGCTGCAGTGCAGCAACGTGCAGCAAGGTGCTGCCGCCAGCCGTCCCTATCAGCCTGGGCTTCAGTGACTTCATGATCAATCCATGGCACTGGGGGGGGGGAACGCACACGATGTCACCCTCAGCCCTCTGCCTGCTGCATCTCAGCGTCTCTGTGAGGGAGGAGGCAATGGCGGCAGGCTTTGGAGTGCTGTGGAGTGCTCCACGGGAGACGATGAAGAAGCAGGAAGCCCCAATAGCGGAGAAACGGGTACTTGAGGGTGAGTGAGCCCGAGAGGCGGGTGGAGTTGTAGAAAGGACAAGTGTGGAAGTGATGGATGAGGAAAAAGGGCTTAGGTTTAAAAGGAACTTTATTTGGAGCCCGAGAAACCCTGCGTCTCACTCCCGAGCGTCTCGCAGGGTTACAGTTAAGTCATTTCTGTGGGTGATTCACCCTTCCGATGATGACACCTCCAGGTGCCAAAAGCATCCTTTTCTTTAAATGTCAGCCACGAGGGCCGGCACACACCCTTCGCCCTCCCCTCCCTTGGTTTCACACGAGCTCATTTAATTCTGGGTGGATACACTTCTCCTCTAGGGTAACTAAAACATGCACTGGTTCAAACAGGCTATTAAAAGTTGCCTCCCCCTGAACATTCCCTCTGAAGGGAAAAACAACAAGAAGCAGCGGTGGCATCTCAACCAAAATTCCTTTACTTTTTATTTTATTTTATTACATTTTATTTTATCTTAAAAGCATCTTATGTAAAACAGTGCTATGTCAAGGAGGCTGCAGGTTCTTTAGCATTACAAGGACTAAAGTAGCTTTATATGTGCAGCGCCTTCAATGGATAACAGCCTCCTAAATTAGGAGTGCATCCCATATAATGCTCTCAGTAGCTCTTTATGACTTAGGAAGTGTCTTTTCTTCTCTTATCACCCCCGCACACACACACACACACAGACAGACACACCCAGGCGACGAGACATCCTCGACGTGTGTGTTGTCAAGTTGGCCACACCCACCCAGTCACATGACTACCGAGTCACGCCTACCCAGCCATCATTAGGGCAGAGAACCAGTTGTTAAAGTATTTGAATCCCACCACTGGATACAAGTCAATGAAATTCTTGGGGAGGAGCTTGGATTTGGATTTCTGGTGGTAACACAGGGATTCTAAACTGATGAGACGTTTAACTCTGCTCTCCAACTTTGTCTGCTCTTCTAGACCTCTTTTTTGTTTCCCTTCCAGGACTGATGGTGTTGGTGACTTTGGAGATTTTCCGACAATCGGTCCGATGGCTGATCACCTCCAATGCGACCATCCCACTAGAATATGAGTATTCCTGGTCTGTGGCTTGTGCAGTGTCTGCAGGGGCAATTCTGATATTTGGGGGAGCCTGCTTCATCCTATTGTCTATGCCAGGTTTGCCCAAAAAGCCTTGGGAATATTGCATCAGAAAGAGAAGCACCAGTGAACATACTTCCTAAAGTCTCTCTATCTCTCACTCTGCAACCTTTACACGTAGAGGTGGAATGAATCAATCTTCCCCAATTTACCCCCTGTCCTATTTCTCCAGCTTCTGGACACACTTTTCTTCCCTGTTTTGTGACTTGTAAATAGAACCAGTTGTACTTCTCTTGTTTTAATTTGGGGTGGGGGAGCAAGGGGGGGGACTGCAAGCAAAGGGCTCTGTTGATGAACAAGGGACAGTTGTGTTAGTGAACTGAGACACTAACAAATTGAGAGAGGATAAAGGCCTGTATTTAAAACCCAGTTTTTATAAATAGCTGTTTTTAGCTCAACAAGAGGACTTGTGTCTTGAAAGTCTTTTAAATTCACATCGAGGTCAGACAACAAAATTTCATGTCAATTTCCCACCATAGCCAAGTTCCGCCCAAAACAAAAATTACAATTCTTCTGTTGGAAAATTGAAAGATCATGAAAAGAACAAAAGATACTTGCAATTTGACTTACATGTTCAGGTTTTTTTTTTCTTTTTGCATACCCTCCGGATTTACCCAAAAATATGATTTCTAGCTAGGTCCTTTGAGAATGACAGGGAGACACCGAAGTTACCAACCTAACTTTCCAAACACAGGTGAATTCTTAACCTACCATTTGGGGAACCTGAAAACAGAGGACTTTTGTTCAGATGAATTTCCATCCAGCATCTTGCCAGTTAACTAGCCAAAATCTACAACAGTGAAATCCACGGACAGGCATATTTTCAAAACTCAAATTTTTCTCCCCCCAATTAAGTGTCATCATATAAAAAAATATTTCTTGCAACTTTTCCAGTGAGTAATGCTTCTAGAAACTCAGTCCAGCTGATAAGATGACATAAATTGCAGCTCTCTGCTCAAAGAAGGCATTACACAGATAGTGTAGCAGGAACCTTCTTGATTTAAGAATAACTTATGAAGAGAAGTGGAGAGAAAGCAAGCAGCTACAGGTTTACAACATGAATTTATATGTTGATGCCTAACCAGCATCCTTTGTCTTCTCTAGACACCAGAGCTCAGGGGTGTCAAACTCAAGGGCCTGGGGCCGGGCCCAGCTCATGGGGTGCTTAGATCTGGCCCACAGGGCCACCCTGGAAATAGCAAAGGATTGGCCCGCGGTGCCTCTGCCAGTGAAAACAGGCTCCTGTGCTCCGTTTTCGGCGGCCCTCCTGAGCTCCGTTTTCACTGGCACAGGGATGCAGGAGGCTCAGGAGCCCATTTTTGCTGGCAGAGCGCTCAGGCCACACAGGTGCCCCCGACATGAGTGATGTCGAGTTGGCCATGCCCAACCCGGCCTCACCCACCCCAGCCCCCTGAGGTCAAACACAACCCTGATGTGGCCCTCAATGAAATCAAATTTGACACCCTTGCCATAGACACTCTCCAGTGACAATGTTTATGTTCTTGATATGATGGTGTTTAAAGCGCATGGAGGCAGTCATGTGAGCATGGGGAATTCTGGGAGTTGAAATCCACAGAGCTGGAAGTGGCTGAAATTGAGAAACAGTGTTTTAAAACATCCATGAACGTGGTATAGAAATGAGCCAATAAGAAACCTCTATTGGACTTTGTTATTTTGTGTTGATTTTCCTCAAAATCCACGTATTGCCTTGAATTTACAGGAATTAATGCATGAGTGAGTTTGGAAAGGATTGCAGGCCAAGGTGCTTTGATGAAGGAAGGCAGAGTTTTTCAGCCATACTGGCTGGAGAATTCTGGGAGTTGAAGTCCAACCATCTTAAAGTTGCCAAGGTTGGAAAACACTGAAATAAGCAATAAAGATGCATGGATGATATTTCTCTTCACTGCCTCAATTTGTTCTGAAGATAAGCTCTGTTTCTATGGAGACAGAAAGGGCCATTCCCATTTCTTTTACCAGAGTCAAAGTTGGCTGGTTTGCTTTGCTGTATTTGAGGAATGGGGGAGAAAGGTGGCAAAATTATCTGGGGGAGAAATCATGCTTTTTTGTTTCCCAGAGAAAGCCCTGCTTTTTTTTTTTTTTTTTGCAAAACTAAATAAATGTTTGAAGGATTCCATCATCGTGGATGATATTTGTGGTAAATCACGCCCTGTTACAGATGGTACAGAATCAATAAAAAGATTCTACAGAATAATTCAAGGAGACAGGCTGTTTCATTGAAATAATTTCTTTTTTCTTGAATTGCTAGACCAGATTTCATGAATCTTTCATCAAAACTGCCTGGGAAAGTTTTCCCATTTTTTTTTTAACCATATATGGAAATTCTTTGATGGGACAATATTAACTGTGAATTAATTTGGAACTATTCTGGGGCACAACTGGAAACCATTGAATATTCAGCTGCAGTCAGGTATCTACAAAACATGGTCAAAGAGAAGAATTGCAATGGTGCAATTTAAACTCTGCCTTTTTTTTTTTTTTTTTTTAAAGAGGAATTTCAATCAGAACTTTGTGACCAACAGCTTGACTGTTATAATTTATCATCCCACAGTCAGCCAGATGTTTAGGCTGGATTTGGCATCTTTATCCACCTATTGAGTCCTTCCCAAGGGCTTGATATAGCCAGATGTGGAGGTATTAAAAGTATCATCACAAGATATAAACTGTTCCATCATGTAAATCTGCCTTTTACAATTGACTGATGACGATTTTGTCAATGACGATAGTGTTCAGGTGGTATGTTATTATTGTACACCCAATATAATATGGTAGCATCCCTGCATATTCCATCGCATATTAATTTAGATGATGCAGTCTTTTAAATGTCAGTTTTGAACTGATTTGTTGTATCTCCAAGTCATTATAAGATAATTTAAACCAATCTATGTGAAATATAATGTAAACAAATCCTTTTAAGAGACTTTCCTGAGGCCTAGCAAAGACCCAGAGGTTGGGCCATGAAAAGCAGAGGTCTGTAGTCTTGTGAGATTACAGAAGAAGGGGAAAATGTCAAGGCACAAAATGACATGTGGGTTTTCTCCAGCTGGCCTTACGCAAGGAGTTCAGCTTCTATTCCTCCTTGTCAGCATCTCAGCCTTGGGACAGGGCGTCCCACGGCAACAGTCCTCCAGCAACGCTTACAACTCTCTGCTCAGTTATTCTCGTTCTGCTCTGGGCCTCTCCAGTTACATGCTGGGATGTAAACAGTGCCCTAGTCTCTCTTTTTGATCTCTGCAGAGTTTGCACAGCAAGGAAACAAACTTGTCACAAAAAGACAAGCTCAAAGTTCTGCTTCTAAGCAACCACTAGCTTTCCCTTTAGCCTGGATTCCCCTACAAAGGGGGCTTGAGCAGGCATTTCCCAGAGACAGTTTCCCCTTGCTTTTTAAGGATGCAGTGATGTGAAATCACCTACTTTCTTATTCAGGTTTAAAGATAGAGTAATTGGCCTTTGAAGTTGTTTAAATTGCAGCTGTAAGGCTACTGCCTTGAAGCCAGAATAAGCCAGTGGCTAAACAGCATTTCTCCCAGCTGGCCAAACAGAGCAATGCCAAAATGGGTGCCCCTCTTCCCAGCCTGGCCTCACACCCAGTAATTTTTTGCAGCAAAAAAGCAACAACAAGCGTTTTTAAAAAAGCAGGTCGCTATTTGCAAAGCTGCTTGAAAGCCCAATGCCAGAACCTCAGAGCACAATGGCAGCTTAGCAGCTTCGGGAAGGAAGGGAGGGAGGGAGGGAGGGAGGAAGCCAAAGAGCGGGGGAGGGTGGGATTGGCAGGGGTGCAAAAACAAAATTTTGCTATTGGAGCTGCAGTGCAGCTGAGCTGAGGAGAATCAATTCAGCTACTTCACATCCATGACGGTATGGGGTTAAGGGGGTGTGGCGCCACGCTGGGAGCGGTGCCAGGGTTCAGTATGAAACTAGAACAATCCGTCCAAACAATTAGAAACAGGGCTACTAATTTAGTGCAAATCCTTATGCATTTGACCACAGCTTGTCATGCAAAAATCAAGAAGTGAGGGAGATTAAGGTAAGGAGAAATGTATCGATAGATTGATCAGTGGTTAAACAGCCTAATTAATGGCTTTCAAAAAGGCTGATAAATTTAATTTTGGATCACTGTGTGTCTGTTTCTACCAATTTATCAAAGGCCCTACTTAGACATAATCTGCATGTGGACAAGTTCTTTCTGCCAGATCTTCATGACATTTCCTTCATCTCATCTCCAACCCATACCTGAGACAGGTATCCTTAAGTCATCCTTAGCAGATTGGGTGTTAAAATAGAATTTTCCCCATCAAACCATAATCTATGGATTAAGTTTAATGCACTTCATGAAGCATTTCATCACTGTCATAGTCAGGTGAACTCTGGGGCCATGGCATCAACACAGGAAGCCTTGACATGGCCACAATTGGGCCATTTAGGTTGCTAAGCGAGGCAGTTAAGTGAGTCACACCCAAGTTTACTAGTTGTTTGCCACAGTTCTTATAAATCTCTGCAATTGTTAAATGAATCATGCAGTTAAAATGAATCCAGCTTCTTCCATTGACTTTGTTTATTAGAAGCCAGTGGGGAAGATTGCAAATGGTGATCACATGACCTCCGTATGATGCTACAACCATCATAAATACATGCCGTTGCCAAGCATCCGGATTTTGTTCACATGACAGGTTGTTGCGATGATCATAAATGTCAGGACGGGTTGCAAATCACTTATATTAGTGGTATGGTAACTGTGAACAGTCACTGAACAAATTTTTTAAACTGAGGACCGCCTATATTAGCCATCAGCCCGCACTGATACAGATTAACAAATGTGGAAGGGACTTTGTAGGTCATCTAGTCCAACCCCCCCCCCCCCAAGCATACCCTATATCATTTTTGACAGATGATAGTCCAGTCTCATCACCTTGATTTCCTGGACCATTTTTCTTTGCACACAGGAAGAATCCATTATTTCAATCCAAGCTTTGGGGAGGGGGTGGAGTAGGAGTGTGGGGGGAAAGTTTCTGTATCCCATGCTCACGAGGTTGTTAAATTGTCCCATATATTATAGTTAATGTGTCACATTTTTCCTGCACTGCACTGAAAACCCTGAGACTTAAGCACCCAGTGAACAGCTTAATCTATATTTACTGTTTTCCCAAAAATATGACCTACCCTGAAAGTAAGTCCTAGGTTGATTTTTACACATGTTCCCAATATAAGTTCTTCCCCCCCCCAAAAAAAAAATAACCCCTAATTCCGCCCACTCCAGGGTACACGGATAAAAAATAAGTGGAGGTATGGGGGGATGGAGCTGCCCTACTACTTACTTTTGAACAGTTGTAACCAGGCCTCGTGCACCCTGACCCTGCCTTGCTAGCCCATTTCTTCTGCAGCCAGAAAGGCCAGAAAGGCTTTCCTGAAAGTCTCTGCAGCTGGTAACAGAGCTCTGGCTTGCCAGCCACAGAAAAAGTTCCTGAAGGCCTTTGACAGTGAAAAGGAGGCCGGGGACAACACACGCAAGTGAGGTGAGTCAGGGGATGACATCTCCCCCCAAAAATAAGACCTGGCACCATTTTTTGTGGCAATACACACACACAAACTCTCTCTCTCTATCTATCTATCTATCTATCTATCTATCTATCTATCTATCTATCTATCTATCTATGACAGTCTTATTTTTGGGAAAACACGGGTATTTCTTGTGGTTTATGGATTGTAGCTTGGGAAAAATTGTCACATGCTAGTGCATGTATTCGTGACTCTGGTAAGAAAAATGGTGTAGTGTCTACCCAATTTTTATCAGAAATGTGGCCAGAGAATTTAGAATTGCAATTGACATCTCTTAATTAATAAACCTTGTTTAAATTAGATATGTATCTTATCAACAATATTAAAAAGAGTGGGAGTGGAAATTAAATAAAGGAAATGGTTCTTTCCAAGTATTTATACCTGGAGCTTTTTCTCCTTCTCTATTCAATTCTTTGAGTTAATCAAGGACTTCTTTTTATTGAACAAGTCTTTGCAATTGTTTAAATTAGATGTGTATCCCACCAACTGTACCACAAAGAGTGGGGATGGGAGTTTAATAAAGAAAAAAAATGGCTCTTTCCAAGCACTTAGAGCTTTTTCTCTCTTTAAATCTTTGAGTTAAGCAACAAGGACTAAATTTTCAGACCTT